TAAGGAGACTGTATTTCAATGAGAGATCACCACATTTGGGGAACGAGCATGAACAGAACCAGTCCTGAGTTTGGGAGGTCCTGGGACCTGGGACAGATTAACCAAGTATAGAAGCAAGGAGAGGAGCAAAAGAACTCTCTCCCTAAGTTGCTATTCAATGAAGATCAAGATTTAGTTCAGCAAAACTAGTAAGTTCTAGGAGCTGTGCTATACAACTTTGCAACTACAGTTAACAAGTCGATAGTGCACATTTAAAAAATTATTAAGAGGACAGATCATGTGTTAAATGTGCTTGTCATTACTAAAGTAATAAACCCAGAAATAGCAACGTCTGGATCACTGAGCTAGGCAAGGAAGCCCTGCCACTAGAACCTAGATGTAATTTCAGAGCACGGGAGCATTAGTGACCAATGTCACATTGAAAGAACCCTTGCTCCACTAAAGGATCCGTAGTTTCTCCTTTTCACCTCTTTGTTTTTTCTTTTCGGTGTCATTTACTTTCCTTACCTCGGGTCCCTTGTCAAAATGGGAACCACTCTAGAATTACTCACGCTCATACTTTAAATATAAATTTCTCTGGCATCTTCCATTTAAACTTTTGGTTTCTGATTACAGAAGGGAATGCTTGGAACACTATTGGTGCACAGCTCACTTCTGGGGAGGTCAGTTGTCTGAGTCAGAAAGGTCTTTTGGCTGTTCCTGTGATCCACTGGCTTTGGCATTTCAAGCATCCAAGTGGACAACAGGAATCCTAGGAAGATCTCTACTGTTTGTATCTGTCTTCCTTTTCACCAAGTCTTTCCATCATTTAGCATAAGCCATTCCCTGCTTCTTAGTTTTCTATCTCTTTGCTTCTAAATAATCTTGATACATCAGTTAATTTCACTTGTATCAAGTTTTCTTGCCTCGACATCAATTTGTTGCCTTTGTGATACCTAAAAGCCCATCATCGTGTTATGCTATAATTCACTGTTTACCTGTCCATTCTCCACTAGACCACAAATTTCAGGGAAAAAAAGTGATCAAGTTTATTCATTATATATTTGCAGCCTCAGCACCTGGACTAGTAGTCATCATTTATAAATAAGCATTCAACAAATATTTGTTAAAGGAAAGAATAACTACATAAACCAGAGATAGAAGTTTGCTCTCTCCTTTTGCTTAAGACTCTAGGTCTACCCTTCAATTCCATCTTTACATCCACTCACCTCAAAGCATAGAGAGCTAGCTGACAAGTCCATTACGTCACAGTTCAAGTGGTCTGCTGCCTCAATGACAGATGGGCTGCTAAATACCTCTGCCACCATGAACACAGTTCTACAACAAACCACAATCGTCTCTTTCCTGAACTACTATAGTCATAATACTAGGTCTGTCTACATCACTTTTGCCCTGAGAAAGGTCCCCAAAGGGCTGCCTTGTCCCTTCCACCATGTGAGGATGCAGCAAGAAAGTGGTACCTAAGAAATAGCAGCACTCATTGGAAGCCAAATGTACGTCACCTTGATCATGGACTTTCCAGTCTCCAAGATTGTGAGAAATAAATTTCTCTTGTTTTTTTAAGTTACCTAGTTTATGGCATGTTTGTTATAGCAGCACAAGGAAGCACAGGATGAATTAATGACGCATGCCACATGGTAAGATTCTTAGCATTCAGTGTTTTGCTATCTGATTGATCCCCTATGCATATGCTCCTAACATGTCTAACTGGTTATAGATTAATTATAGATGGGCAATTTATTTATGTATTTTACTTTTATTTAGGCCATAAAGGCTTACAAAATATCTCCCTTATTGCTTTTGTAGTAGTCTCATTAACCTTCATACATATAAATTTTCTATTCTTACTACTTTTCAGATCCTCTAAAAGGAATTTAGTTCATTATGAAAAACTTGGTAAAGCATTGAAGAAATGGGATCAATGAGAAACTTAAAAGGACAGGGAAATTTTTTAAATATATGCTAAACCTATAAACATAGAATTTAAATTAGAAAAAAAAAGAAGTAATATCATTAAATGACAAACTTGGTAGAGGTAATAGTCTGAGTTTTAGTAGGACATTTTAAACACTGCATTATAAAGCTCTCCAAGAAAATGTTTTAAAATTGATTTAGTTAAGTAACCTGTCACTGAGATTGAAATAGCAAGTAATGAAAAATGTCAACACCCTGAACTGAGATATTTAATGGCATGACAAAGAAGCCAGGGGTAAGTTTGGTTTTATGTCGCATCTTAATTAATTATTTGGAAGGAGGAGTAAGCATTTACAGATTATATTCTGAAATGGCACTAACTTTGATGATGCTACAAAAATGATTAATAGGGAAAAATAAAATGCACCAGGGCTTGGAACATTTAGGAATATTAGTAAGTGGAAGAAAAAAAGAAGATATAATTGAGTAAATGAAAATAAGTTTTGAAATTTTTGAAGAACAATTTTGAAAGCAATAATGGTAGGAGTTTTTAACATCACACAGGTTAACATATTGTTCTGAATGTAATAAATCTAGCAAATATGAGGCTTAGCAGCTTTTGCTTGACCCATTCAAAGACAAAATGGTCAAATTTTTCTTTGGATAACATATAATCTGAATGAAAAGGACAAAATTTTGGAATGATTCAATGTAGCTAAACTCTTGTGTACTCATGAATTTGGAAGTGAGATGGATGGCATGATGTTGTTGGAACAAATACTAAAAGTACTAGAATTGAAGTATTCTTTAACTATTCTGCTTTCTCTGGACATCATGCTCTTTAATAAAGAAAAAAAACTAATGACTGAAGTTTCCCTAGCATGGGGCTATCAAGAAGAGAAGCCTTCTGGTTCTAGCAAGATGGAAGAATAATGTATTTTGAAATTCTCCTACCACAAATATTCCTAAATTATGAAAATAATTTTAAAGAAGAAACTTGAAATAAAGAGTAAGCTGCCTTTGTATCACCCCCTGTGCTTGCCTTAGATGATGCAAGGAGAGAGGAACAGCAGATACTGGCCCCATAGGAGTAGATATGCTATCTCAGGACCAGTTGAAATGAGAGTTAGAATTAGGTCTGCATGTTCAGTCAATTGGAGCTAGAACACAGTTTACCATCAGCACCAAAAGACAAGGAAACTTGTCTCTGCCTGGGATTTTGAGGAAAAGGGAGGAATTCTTCTTAGAAGTTACCCCTATCAGTATCAGGAAATAAAATCAGAGTTGATGAAACAGAAAATTTTATGAATAAAACCACCAATTAGATACAAAGGAAAGAAAATTCATGATTTAGGAGACAAAACTGGACAAAGTATCCAGACTGAAGACAGAGATACTTAGAGGAAGAAAAAATAAAAATGAGACACAGAGGACAGGGATGGTAGAAAAAGAAATTTTACCATATGTCTCAGAGCAGTTGCAATTAGAATGAATTAAGAGAATATGAAAGAAATAATGATTGAAAACTCATTAGTTCAATTTTTTTTTAGAATTAGTAAACAATGGAAATACTAATGGTAAGGAAGCTTAATAAGAATAGAGAAAGATCAAATGGGGAGAAAAAACTGCAATAAAAACATTAAAGTGAAATAAAAGGAACCAAAGATGAAGAAAAATAATCTTAAAATAACCAGAGGGAAAGATGAATTATCTGCCTGGAAAGAAAAATTAACGCAATATTAGACTCCCAACAGCAGCAAAGGAATTCATTTAAAAAGTCTGCCTTCAAAGTGCTGAGACAAAAATAACTTTTGGTCTAGATTTCTATACATTGCTAAATATGAATTCAAGAGTAAGAGCAAAGTAAAGACATTTTCAGACTAAAATAGTTTCCTGTGCATAATCCTCTATTAAGAACTTCTAAAGGCTGTGCTTTAAGACAAAAGTTAGTTAGTATCATGTAAGAATAAAAGTTAGCAAAGAGATGAGAAAATATGTGTGCAAAACTAAATAAGTAATATTTCATATAGAGTAATAATGGTGATAAAGCTGTACAAAATCAGGAAGATCATATACAAAAAAGGCCTAAACTCAGTATAATTTAAAAGAATGTCATACCGCATTAAAAAGAAAAATATCCAGAAAATCTAATTAGATGCAGCGCAAGGGAAATACCTAAAAAACACACAGAGACTTATTCTTCCATATTACATGATCAACTTTGTAATGTCTCATAAATATTGGTGCTCTTGGTTTGTTGATTGTAGAAACTGTATTTATCTAATAGCTGGTGAATATTCATATTACTCAGATCTTCTACGTATTGGCCTATTTTTCTTTCTTAGAGTAGTTAAAATCTCTAGCTACTTACCTGAACAGTTTTGTCAGCTGTCACTCTGTTTGGATGCTGTGTATACAGGTATCTATAGGTAGGTATATATTCATCATGGTCTATCTATCATCTTGCTCCAGGAACTATTTAATGGTCTCTCATATCTCCGCCCTTATGCTAGCTTTGTCTTGAATTCTATTTCTTAAGATATTAAGATTGCTATTCTAGCTTTCTCTCATGTTCTATATACCTAGTATATTTTTTCCAGTCTTTTATTTTCAATTTTGTATGCTTTGAGTAGTGTCCCAAGTAGACAAAATATTGATAGAGATAATGATTGCTCAATCCAAAGGTCTCAGTCTCCTTTGACTCTTTTAGTAACCTCCTTCCACACACATAGATTGTGATTTCTTCCCTTTTGAGGGCTTTTTTTGACATCTTTTTAAATTTTTTCATTTCTTTACTTCCTATGCCTTTTTAATCTCAATTTTATTTTTCCTTCATCAAAATACAGTTCACATTTTGGGTACTAAACTGGCTCCTCCGACTCTCATGCCAAACTCTGTATTCTAAGTAGTAGGAAGAAATCAAAGAGAAGAGAAAGGCAGGCTCCATGCCTTTAAAAGGAATGACCTGAGAGTTGCACACTCTACTTCCACTAATATTCCCTGGCCAGAAATTAGTAGCATCTTGAGCTGGCCACACCTAGCTCAAGAAATGAGTATTATTAACACTGGTGGATTTTTTGTTTGTTTGTTTTGTTTTGTTTTGTTTTACTTATGAACAAAGACTTGTGGACAGGTGCAAAGCTTCAATCCTCTTTTTCAAGCCAGAACTCATTTAGTGTGAGTTTTGATACATATAAGAAGGAATATAAGACTTAAGGCAGCTTAAAGTGATGCCATTTCAATAACTATCAAGTTGTTTAAAAAAAACACACACACACACAGGTCATGAGAGAAATCCCAACATTCCAATTTTCCTATCATGATAGAAAATGGACTTTTTAAAAGAATAAAAGAAAGAAAAACATGAAGCCAGGCACAGTGGTGCACACCTGTAATCCCAGCAGCTTGGGAGGTTGAGGCAGGAGGATCACAAGTTCCAAGCCAACTTCAAGCAAAAGTGAGGCACTAAGCAATTCAGTGAGATCCTGTCTCTAAATAAAATACAAAATAGGGCTGGGATGTGGCTGGGTGGTCAAGTGCTCCTGAGTGCAATCCTGGGAAAGGAAGGAAGGAAGGAAGGAAGGGAGGAAGGAAGGAAGGGAGGGAGGGAGGGAGGGAGGGAGATGAGCATCTTTCATCCCAGTGAAATCATGTTATTTTTCAATGGAGAAAGGAGAAAAGAGATGTTGACTCAACCACTTGTGCTTCTTGTCATAGCACATCCACTGTATCATATGGAAACCCACTCCCTCCTCAAGGAAGACAATCCTAGACACCCATTCAGTTATAAATCCAACTAAAAGCCCATGATTTCTAGATAATACACAGTCCTTCCCAGCAGACCCAAATATGATGTTCACAATCCTGCAACCTAGAAACCAAACACAAGAAATCTGTCCCTTCTTTCATTTCCAATATATAATGCTAGAAAAAAAGCAAGGTCACCAAAATAGAAATTTTTTTTTTTAAAGGAATGGTACCAAGAGCGTGGTTGCTGGTCCATATCAGTTTTCAAATGCTAAAAGGCAGGAGTTCCACACTCCCTGACCTGACCATAAATTCTTTGGTTAGCTATATGGTGCTGGTCTCCTGGAAGGATCCCTCTGCATGATCCCTAGATTGGTCCTCTGAGGATCTGGGGGTTTACTATGTTCCATGATCACATCTGATGTGGGCATTGACTAGTATGTTCTTTTAGGGCCTGTTCGGATTTTGCAGCCCACTGAATGCTAGTGCAGGACTAATATTGGGTTTTCTTCAGCAATTAGGCAGAAAACAACCATAGATTTTGCAGGCTAGGTTGTTGTTTCTTTGAAAATACAATTTCCTGAAACATTTAGTAGGTTTTTAGTCAACTTGTTTTCATGAGTTCCGTAGGCAAGGATCTATAGACAAAACTTTTGTCTAGACTTAAAAATCAGTCTCTTGTTTAGTGACCTCTAGACCCTGCCCATTTCCTCCTTGCAGTTCAATGGCTGTTTCCTTGAAATCATGTAAAACAACTGTGACAGTAGTAAGACAACTCTAGATGGTCCTTGTCAATTCGAGTGGCTGAATTGTCTGGCCTAGAAATCTTAATGGGAAGTTACTTTTTAAATATAAAATAAGAAGTTACCGAAACTTATTGGCCTCCTGTATTTCTAGCTCTATATTGTTGAAAATTTCATCTTTTAGTTCTTCTTCCAAAGACAAGCTTTCCAACATGAGTTTTTGTATGGCAAAATAAACTGAGTCTTTGTACGTCTGAAAATAGTTTTAATAATGTCGTCACACTAAATGAAAATTTGTTTAGATTTAAAATAAGAACAATATAGGATTTCTTTTTCTTTCCTTTATGGCTTTAAAAATATTACTCCTTTTTCTTCTTCCCTCCAATGTCATTGCTGAGAAACTTCAAGTTAATGTTATTTTGTTCCTTTGTTCATGATCAGCTCTTTCACTTTAGAGTTTAATAGAAATGTCTCAAGGCAATTAATATTTTTGAATTTCATTGTAATGTGGCTAACTTGGGGTTTCTCATTTAACCTCTTAAACACTTCACATGCTCTGAAGACAAAAGCCATACATCTTTTATTTTTATTTCTCTTTTTTGTGTATGAACTTATAAAAATAGAAGTATGACATTTATAATATAAAGCATACAATTTTATGTGTTCAGGATATACTCACTAACCACCACCCATATCAAGATATAGAATATTCCAAATACCCCCAGAAAACTAACATTTTTAAATTCTTTATTTATTATTTGCATATTTTGAATTTTTAAATTCTATCATCATTTTATTAGCTTTGCCTGTTACCTGTCTATATCAATAGAATCATACAATGTATGGTCTTTGGGGTCTTTTTACATTTTGATTATATTATGTTTGGGAGATAAATTGATCTTCTGAGGGGAAAAGTAGTTCATTGTTTTTCTTGCTGTTTAGCTCTACATTTTATAAATGTATCACAATTTATTATGGTTTCTCTTTTGATAAATATTTTGGTAGTTTGGAACTATTATAAATACCACTATAAACATTTTTTATCATGTGTGCTAATGTACACATATGTACACTTTGGTTGAGAAAAATCTCAGAGTGAAATTTCTTGGTTATGGGTTGTGCATATGATCAGTTTTAGTAGATATCATCAATTTACCAAAGTCATTGTTACACTTGGACTCCCTCCAACCATATGTAAGAATTCAGTTATAGCAAGATATTTATATCTGCTAATTCTGCATAGCGGATTCATAGATGTCTATTACTATACAATTTTATTTATTTTAATTTTTGTTGATTCTTTTTAGTTATAATAACAACAGAATTTATTTTGACATAATTATAGAAGCATGGAATATAATTTGTTCTAACTCAGGCCAGTACTTTCCTTTCCCCTCCCCTTCCTCCCACCCCCGTTCCCTTCCCCCTACTCCACTGATCTTTTTGCTATTTACTTACAAATTTTTCTTTTTCAAATTAGTGTCTTGTGTATGTACATGATGGTGAGATTCACTGTGGTACATTCATATATGTACATAGGAGAGTTAGGTCAGGTCATTCCATTGCCTTTCCCTAACCTATCCCCCTTCCCTTCTCTTCATTTCCTTTGTCTACTCCACTAATCTTTCTTCTATTCCTTTTTTTAACCCTCTCCCACCTAATTTTGTATTAGCTTCCTCATAACAGAGAAAACATTCAACCTTTGATTTGGGGGGACTGGCTTATTTCATTTAGCCTGATAATCACCAGTTCCATCCGTCTACAGGCAAATGCAATAAAGTCATTCTTTATGATTGAATAATACTACATTGTATACATGTACCATATTTTCTTCATACATTCATCTGTTGAAGGGCAACTGGGTTGGTTCCATATCTTAGCTATTGTGAATTGAGCTGCTACAAACATTGATGTAGCTGCATCACTGTAGTATGCTGATTTTAAATCCTTTGAGTATATACGGAGGAGTGGGACAGCTGGATCAAATGGTGGTTCCATTTCTAGTTGTTTTTTGTTTTTTTTTTTGGAGGAATTTTTTTCTGTTTTCCAAAGTGGCTGCACCTGTTTGCACTCCCATCAACAATGTATGAGTGTACACTTTTCCCCACCTCCTCATCAACATTTACTGTTATTTATATTCTTGATAATTGCCATTCTGATCAGAGGAAGATGAAATCTCAGGGTAGTTTTAATTTGTGTTTCTCTAATTGCTAGCAATAGTTAACATCTTTTCATATATTTGTTGACTAATCTTATTTCTTCTTTTGAGAAGTATCTATTCAGTTCCTTTGCCCATATTTTTTGGTGTTAAGTTTCCGAGTTATTTGAATATACTAAATATTAATGCCCTATCTGAGGACTAGGTGGCAAAGTTTTCTCCCATTCTGTAAGCTCTCTCTTCACATTCTTGATTGTTTCCTTTCCTGTGAAGAAGCTTTTTAAATTGATGCCATTCCATTTATTGATTTTTTTATTGTACTTCTGGCACTTTAGGTGTCTTACTGAGGAAGTCAGTTCCTGAGCCAACGTGTTGGAGTATTGGGTTTTCTTCTAGCAGGTACAGAGTTTCTGATCTAATTCCAGAGTTGGTTTGATCCACTTTGAGTTGAGTTTTGTGGAGGATGAGATAAAGGGGTTAAATTTCATTTCAAGTCTTCCAGACACCATTTGTTTAAAAGGCTATCTTTTCTTCAACATATGTTTTTGGCACCTTGGTAGATAATTATACTTATGTGGGTTTTTCTCTGTATCTTCTATTCCATTATTATTCATGCCTTGTTTTGGTGCCAGTACCATACTGTTTTTGTTACTATAGTTCCATAGTATCATTTGAGGTCTAGTATTGTGATGCCTCTTACTTTGATTTTCTAAGGATTCCTTTGGCTATTCTCAGTCTCTTATTTTTCCAAATGAATTTCATGACTACTTTTTCTGTTTTCTGTGAAGAACATCATTGGAATTTTGATGGGAATTGCATAATCTCCGTATAGCACTTTTGGTAGAATGGCCATTTTGACAATATTAATTCTGCCTATCAAGAACGTGAGAGGCTTTCCATCTTCTAAGGTCTTCTTCAGTTTTTCTTTATTTTTCTATAGTTTTCATTGTAGAGGTCTTTCACCTCTTTTTTTAAGATTGATTCCTAAGGTTTGTTTGTTTTGTTTTGTTTCTTGAGGCTATTGTGAATGGGATAGTTTCCTATTTTTTTTCAACAGATTCATCATTGGAATATAAAAACATAATAGATTTATGGGTGTTGATTTTGTATCCTGGTACATTGCTAAATTCATTTAGAAGCTCTAGATGTCTTCTGGTAAAGTTTTGGGGGAGTCTTCTCAATACAGGATCATGTTGTCAGCAAACAGAGATAATCTGATCTCTTTGTTTCCTATTTGTATCCCTTTAATTTCCTTCTCTTGGCTAATTACTCTTGCTAGAATTTCAAAGCCTATGTTGAATAGAAATGGCTAAAATGGGCTCCTTGTGTTAGAGGAAATGCTCTAATTTTTTCTCCACTCAGAATAATGTTGGCTTTGAGTTTGTCACATACAGCTTTTACAACATTGAGGTAAGTTCCTTCTATCATTAGTTTTTCTAGTGTTTTAGATATGAATGGGTGCTATACTTTGTCAAATGCTTTTTTGTATATATTGAAAATTTGTGTGATTCTTGTCTTTAAGTTTGTTGATGTGATGAATTACATTTATTGATTTCCATA